AGAGAGAGAGAGAGAGAGAGAGAGAGAGAGAGAGAGAGAGAGAGTTGTTTCTGAGCCAGCATCTGTCTCGACTTTCGTTCGGCGGGCAGTGATCTAGATTGGGGTTGATAGAGGTACACCACACGGGGGGGAGGGGAGAGAGAGAGAGAGAGAGAGAGAGAGAGAGAGAGAGAGAGAGAGAGAGAGAGGATGGAGCAAGTGCTTGTTTGTTAATTGGTAGGCACGCGGGCAAAGAGGAACCTTTTTTTTGAATCTAGTTTCTATGGAGAGTAATCTTCTCCTCGTGTAGCTTTGGTAGTCCCGTTGTTATCACTCAAGCGACGGACCATCAGCCATCGGTTATTACCGAACGTCTGTCAGGCAGAAAACGACGAAAAACGTTTAGGAGGGAAAACGTTTTTGTAGTTTGCCTGTTCTTCATCTCCTTCGTCGTCGTATCATTCTTATGCTTCTCTATCTAGTGCCTTGTTTTCTCTGTTTGCTCGACTTTTCCCTCCCTCCCATCTCTCTCTCTCCTGTTCTTCATCGTCTTCCTTCGTTCCTTCTATTGGTCTAGGGGGTTGTTTCTTCCTCCTCCCCTTCCCCCCTCCCCCCCTCCCCCTTCGCCCCTCCCCCCGCGGTCCCCCCCCCAAGACCGTCCTCCTCCCTCTTTTTCCACCCTCTGCCTCCTCCCTCCTCCTCCCATATCTGTTTCTGCTCCCTTTTCTCCTTCTCATCCTTTCTCCATCTTTCTTCTCTCCTCCTGTCTAATATCTCATTCGCTGTCTTTCTCGATCTTCCGCGGACCTCCCCCCTTTCCTTCTTCCCCTTCCTTCCCCTTCCTTCCCCTTCCTTCCCCTTCCTTCCCCTTCCTTGCCCCCCATTTCCCCTTCCTTCATTCTTCTCTCCTCCTCCTGTTTTCTCTTTCTCTGTCCTTTTTAATATTCCACGGCCCTTCCCCTTCCTTCTTTCCCTTCCTTCCCCTTCCTTCTTCCCCTTCCTCTTCCTTCCTCTTCCTCCTTCCCCTTCCTTCCCCTTCCTTCCCCTTCCTTCCTCTTCCTTCCCCTTCCCCCCCTTCCTTTCCCCCCTTCCTTCCCCCCCTTCCTTCTCCCCTTCCTTCCCTTCCTTCCCCTTCCCTCTTCCCTTTCCCTCCGCTCCCTTCCGCATCCTTCCCCCCCTTTCCTCCGCTTCGTTCCCCTTCCTTCCCCTTTCCTCCGCTTCGTTCCGCTTCCTTCCCCCCTTTGACTCCCCCCTTCCCTCCCCCCTTCCCTCCGCTTCCTTCCGCTTCCTTCCAGTCCAGGAGAGTGAGAGCAACATGACGGCCGCTTCGACTGCTCCCCGCGATGGCGGGAAAATGGCAATTACGTTGATGCTGGTGATCTCGTGGTACGTGACGAATATTAGCGTTCTGTTATTAAACAAGTATTTACTCAGTAATTTTGGCTATAAATATCCGATTTTTTTGACCATGTGTCATATGACCGCGTGCGCCTTGCTGAGCTACGTCGCCATCGCCTGGATGAAGGTGGTCCCCATGCAATCCGTGAGATCGAGGTCCCAATTCCTCAAGATTGTGGCTTTAAGTGCCATTTTCTGCGCCTCCGTTGTCAGTGGAAACATCTCTCTTCGATTTATTCCTGTCTCTTTTAATCAAGCCATTGGCGCGACGACTCCTTTCTTCACCGCTGTGTTTGCTGTGCTTTTGACAATGAGGAGGGAGGCCTGGCAGGTGTACACGGCTCTGATACCCGTCGTGCTGGGAGTGATTCTCGCGAGCGGGGTAAGA